AGCATAATGCAGGCTATACAACTATTAAACTATATAAGTATATAGCTGCACATATTGCGAAGGTGTGGTATAAGTGTGCGTAGTAACAATCGGATCAGTAATGTTTATCTCCCTTGATAGCATTGGTTGTGTAAATACTGTCTCCTCCGCAGGCCCTTCGTTGGGCACAGTGAAGTGCAATTGCAATCTATATAGATCACTGGCTGTGATATCATTGCCGGGCAATGCATGATGGGAATTTTTTCTCATTTTCCTCTTCCCCTTTGAAAGCGACTGGGGACGAGGCAGGCGTAAATACAGTCTCTGGCCCTGGGTGGTGCACCGTGGTTATGACACACCAGTCACTGAAAATAGATACTATACATTATAATTGACATTGACGTAACCGCACAATTGCACAAATACTGTACAATGACCTAATGTGACTAATTTTAGACTTTTAGATAGACATAAAAGTGTGCGATTTTTTTACAATCATTAAAAAATTGTTGATTTTACGACCATTAACTCCACGATTGCTATAGAAACAATCGCCTAGAAGATTACAATGGCATCTCATAAAAGACAGTAGCAACATCGCGTTCGGTGCGAGGAATGCAATAAGGAAATCGACAGTGATTATAAAGAGGTGCATTCTCGATTAGTTCACAATGGTAAAAAAGTAAAATGTCATCCAGTGATGGAATCATCGGATTCACCCCAGTCGAAAATCAATACTTTCTTTGTAAAAAGTAACATGACAACCAAGAACGATGACCTGCAGTATGATCTAACCCTACTTGGAACTGAATCGAGTGGTAGTAAAGATTTTGCAGTCACGGTGTCTTTTGGTGAAGTCTACCCGACAAAAATGTGAAGGAACCCATGAGCGAAGACCAAACGGAACCAATGACAACGTTCACTGATGTTGATGAATTAAATTCACTGTCACAGCTCAGAGAAAATAGTGAACAGAATACGGTGACGGACAGTGAAAATGTTACACCATCTTTAGGTTGAAACACGGACAGGGTTGCATTCCTCCTCAACTTTAATCTCTCGCTCCTTATCCTCGCCTTTTATCATGTCCCATAAACTTTCCACCTATTTTAGTTTCTACATAATCGTAATTTCCCTAGTATGTTACGTACATGTTCATCACAGGAGTCAGAGTTAAGAAATTAAGAACAACAACTTTTGGAATACTGATCCTCTCATTATTTAGGCTACACAATGTCTTGCACCAGTACTTGTCCAATTACCCATTTTATACCAAAAAATGTTGTTACATTAATAACTTTCTCTTTCTTTGTAAATCGTAATGCCATATATTTAGCTTATAATTGAAATGGCTAGGGACAACATATTTCTTTTTATATCAATCTTCAAGGACTCCAAAGGAAAGACTTTGATTTGTAGTCTTCTTAGATTATATAATTTTATGATGACGTCAAAAAATATATGACGTCATGTCAATCGGGCAAATTCAGCCCAGCCCCCCCCCAAAAAAAATAATGTGCCCATATGCCTATGAGTTTTACTAACCTTTTCCGCACTTCACACAAAAATTTGAACCATTTTCTGCTTATTTGCCACAATTAGGACAAAACATTTCTGCCTTTCGTTATGTAAATCGTTTCTTTTATACATCGCAAGTTCACGTGTCCACTCCGATCGGCTATTATGTCATCTGTGAATTGATAAATTTTTCCAGTAAAATTTGACTGGACGGCATGGAAAAGTGGCGTGGGTGCCCGAGTAAAGAACTTCATGTTGTAACGATATAGTTGATTAAAAATAAAACCGCTGTACGAACGCCACGATGTGAGCTATTTGCTGTTGATGTGAGCTATTTGTTGATGATGTGAGCTATTTGTTGTTGATATGAGCTATTTGATGTTGATGTCGTGAATTTCTGCCACTTCGCCATATCGTTGCCACAACTCATACAGGACACTTTAATTAAATTCGAGAAGAATTTATATCATTTATACTTTTATAACCTGAAACTGTTGATTCGATCTATGTTTTAATGGCTGCTTCGTGACTTTCATTTCTGTTTCATGACTTTTCACAACTGTATAGTGGGAAGCCGCTGTCCTTAATGTTTGATTTTAGCGCTATTTTATTGTTGATGTGAGCTATTATATTTGTTGTTGATGTGAGCTATTTGATGTTGATGTGAGCTATTTGTTGTTGATGTGAGCAATTTGTTAATGCTGTGAGCTATTTGTTGTTGATGTGAGCAATTTGTTAATGCTGTGAGCTGTTTGTTAATGCTGTGAACTGTTTGTTAATGCTGTGTTATTTGTTATTGATGTGAGAGTTGTGGGCCACCGTAGGAGAGGTATTGGATTACCATATTTTCTCCAAATTTTGTCAAAAGTGTTCAAAGAAGAAAAATGAGTGCAAAGATGATTTAGAAGCATTCGAGGCTTGGAAAGTTGATCATATTGTTAATGGTGAACATGAATAAACTTTGAGGGAAGTTCCCCTGCTATGGAAGCTGAAGCTGCACAAGTTATCTGGAATAGGTCTATTGAAAAACACAACATGAGCTACAAATTTATGATATCTGATGGTGATAGCAAAGCCTTCAGTGCTGTAGAGGACACATACGACCGTGTTAAGGTTGAAAAAATAGATTGTGTTGGTCATGTCCAAAAAAGAACGGGGAAACACTTATTGAAATTGAAGAGCTCTACCAAAGGCAAGTTAAAGGATGGGAAAACCATTGGAGGAAGAGGTAGACTGACTGAGGCAAAAATAAAGCAGCTTCAAAGATACTATGGCCTTGCTATTCGGTAAAATGTTTTGACAAAGCCAAATCCTACTGAAACTGAAGTTCAGGTAGCTGTCTACACAATGAAGAAAAATATCATTGCAACACTCAGCCACAATGTTGAAGGAGAAACTTTAGCAGCTCAACAACGCTACTCCGCCCCCCAAGGAGCAAATTCTTGGTGTAAATGGCAACAGGATAAGAGGGTCCTGAAGGGGTAAAATGGGAACTGGGATTGATCTATTTTTAGACTGGGAAAATGGGATTTGGGTTGCTGGGACTGGGATTTGGCCACTGGGAATGGGAAGTGAAGTCCTGAAAAATGGGAATGGGATTGAGGTAATGCGAGTCGATTCCCAATTTTTCTACATTTTAAGTATTTTAAAATACAATTATAACTATATTATTCACAACACTACCTGCAAACAGGCATACCCTGGCGCCCGGAATTCTGGGTTTTCTGATTATGCGTGTCTCAGAATGCTGCAAATGCCATTTCCGGGATTCAAATTAAAAATTTTTCCGTGCCTTTTGCACAAGCCCCCAATTTCATACAGTGTGTGCCCAGTTGCACACACGGTGGCTTAAAACTGTTTATTTTACCGATAAATAAAGGGTTTTTTATTGACTGGGATTTCAATAACTCGGACTGGTATTTCTAATAAAAATCCAACTGGGACTGGGATTTTGCCAAAATTTCAGGTGGGAAATGGGATTGGGACCCCCCTTCAGGACCCTCGGATAAGGCAACTGGAACAAAGACATGTAAACATGAGAATTTGTTGCCACCATTTTTCCTTGATATTTTGCAGCCTGTGTTCATGACACCGAGTGGAAACAACTGAGGGTGCAACCCAAAACAGAAATGAGTGCATAAACTCTTTAGTTTGGATTCGTTGTCCAAAACATAAATTCCATGGCAAGAAAATAGTTCAGTTTGCAGTTGCATCAGCAGTATGCCACTACCATGTAGGAAAAACATTATGGAAAGACTGTCTATACCAGGAGGAAAATATACAGAAAAGATCAGCAGTACTAAGGACAAAAAAAGAGTTGCTAAATCAGACTTGCAGGTATCAGAAAAATTTAAACGGCGTCGCGAGGGAATACAAGAATTGAGAATACAAAAGGAGGAAGCATTAAGAGAGGCAGAAGGAGTGACCTATGAAGCAGAAGGATTTTAGATGGCTATTCACTGTTCAGTGGCAAGTATTGGAACTTTGAATAGCCATAATATTCACTTATATTGCATATTTATATGTTTTACATTGCTGTTTTTGAATACCAAAACTTTAAAGTCAATTTTCTGAAACGTTGTATTTTCCACCTTTGAGAAAAGATATCTCTGCAATGATTCAAGCAATTTGGGTGAAATTTTTGGTGTTGGTAGAGCTCAGCTTGATGAGGGAAATGAGCGATAGAATTTGGTGTAGGGTGAATTGTCACAATTTGAGAACGAAAAAACGATCACAATTTTCCTCATAAATTTAACCAATATTTTGGATCGATGTTGTGATAACACTATTAGCAATATCAAAAATTCCGTTGCTCATTTCAATCTACTTGCTTTGTGTTCCATAAATAGCTCATCAGAGTAAAATTTAGTTAAATCAACCAAGAGATATATTTTCTCAAAGGAAGCTAATTTTGGAGAACAATGGTATCTATAAAAAATATATTATAGAAGTAATTTTGTGGGCTATGGGAAACAATGTTACTATATTTGAACTCCTTGTTTAATAAGCTTTCTAATGATATATAGTTTTATGTAGTTAGTAGAAATATATGGCGAGCAACAGGCTTGCAAAATCAAACAGCCAAAAATCGCCAACTTCAGGTAGACCCCCACCTTAGGGAATGTTCATTTAATATGACAAGGGGGGGGGAGTGAAGATTTCATATTGCTTACAAGATTTTTTTAGGAGCCCATCGCAACATTGCGCTGAAATTTGTGAGCCCCCCCTGTAAGTATCCCTAAAAATTAAGAGCCCCCCCTTCTTCCTTTGCTCAATTTTAATAATACCCATATATAACTACATCCAAAATCTTAAAGATACCTGGACGTTATCCTGATTTTAACTAGTTAATAAACATAATAGTCTTTGTATCTTGCATGTGGAAAACTAGCTGCTCTTCTGCTGCGTATCGTTGGCAAATTTGCAATTTCTTCATCAGAATCCTCAGACATTCCATCAGTTGAATTGTCGTCTTCATCGCCTTCTGGAATTATCTGAAGTACTTAATCATCGTCAGAATCGGATTCACCATCTCCTGACAAAGTATCATCATCTGAAGTTTCTGCATCAATGGCTGCGTCGTTGGTCCTATTTATGTAGAAATCTGCTTTAATTCGTTTGATTTTATCCTCTCTTTTTCCGATAGTGGACAGGTCATGTCTCTTAAGGTACTTGTCAAGTTCCATCACTTTTAATGAATTTAGTTTTCCTGAATCAATGAGGGTATTCCAATCGTAGTCCTCATAGGTTTTGCTGCACTCTTTTTCTCGTTTTTTTCTTCTTTCGTTTTCCCTGATAGCAGACATCATTTTCAACTCTTCAAGGTGTTTAACATATGATGCGACATCCTTCTCTTCAACACAATAGCGAATGGATACTTCTTTAAGTTGTTCGACATTGTCCGGTGAGATCGTGCCAGCTTTATATGGACGCTTTATCACTGCCCTGGGAGCGACATCATCCACTTCCCTTAACTGCCCGTTATTGTCTGTGGTTGGTGTGTTGAAAACACTCGTATAATGCCCTGGCTTATCAGGATCTGGATACGGGGCAGGAACTCTGGAGAACCTGGGTCCAACCCAGTCCTTTTCACTACATTTCTTGCATACCTCTCCATTTTCCCGACATCCATCCCTTATATATTCCATATATAGTTCACCAATTCTGTAGTGTCTTTCAATAAAGTTTAAAACATTCGTTATGTAGTGGTAACCAGGAACCTGTTGTTTTGACTCAGCGGCAGTACAACTTTGAAATTGTTTTAAGTATTTTTTGTTGAAAAAGAAAGGGCTTTGCTTTGGAGTTAAATAACATTTAATAAACTTGTTAAA